ATATATGAAAATATAGGTATAGAATCTTATTTATATATATAAGGTTGTAAGTTTTAAACCCAACCTGTTTAATTGATAAAAGTAATTATCTTAGGAAGATGTATATATCGAATATTTGCTATAATTAGTGGACAGTTTTAACTTTACCAGGATAAATCATTTGCAAAAAATATTTTAGAGAAGCAGTGATATACTACCCTTAAAAATAATAATGTAGACAGTAATATCTGAAACAAATACAAAAAAAATTTTAACAGTACTAACATATAAACAAATGCTGTCGTTAAAACTACGGTAATATATCTTTTAGTTAACTCTATTAGGCAAAATAATAAACCGCATTATTAAGAGTTATAAGTACCATACAATAGTAAAAAAATTTTTATATATATAAAATTTTTTTATATTTAATTCACACTGTATAGATCACATCTATCATAGTAGATATTTGTTCTATATTAGTAACTAACCCCAAGCGAACAGAAGACACTCAGATCTTTGAATGAAGTCTAAAATGTCTCTGATTGAGTATTTTATAATATCAGATGTGAAAAAGAATTCCAAGACAAGTGTCCTTCACCTAACTCATATTATAACCAGACAGTTATACAAAATGTCCTAGACATCCCATATGCCAACAATCTGCCGACCCATCATATTGAGATAATAGTCACCGTATATATAGCATATGTTAAGTACACCAAAGTTACCAATAATGAAGATTTATCATATATAAATATTATAGCATAGTATTTAAATGTTAATCAGTTGTGGAACATTTTTCACTGGTTTTGAATTTTGGTGACGAAATTGGAGTTTATATAAGTGAGATCTACAATCGAAAAATAATTGATAAATTTTTCGTTAACGTTAAAGGAAATAATTAATTTCTGACTGCATGGAACTATTTTGGAAACGAAATAAATGTTTATGACAACTGTTTTTCGATCGCTGTGAATGAACTTTAGTTTCACATAAACGAGATTTGCAAACGATAAATAGTTGACCACTTTTCGTTTCCTTTAAACGAAATAATTTTTTGAGTGCATTTAAAAACCAAGTGGGATATCACAAATGCAATTTAATTAATTCAAAAAATTTTATTTATAAGCGTCTGCATATTATTATTTATTTTTATCAATTTGTAAATTATAGTTATACGTTGTCATTTTGTCTTAAATAAAATTTAAAATTAAACTAGTTTTAAAGTTAATTTAAATTTAAAATAAAATATTGTTTTGATCAGTAGTTAAATAATACACTTTAAATTTTTTTTTTGTTTTTTATTAAATGATTTTATTTGAACCCATATTTTGACTATTTCCTATAGTCAACATCAGGGTACTACATACTGTTAATATAGTGTAACAATATATTAGTGTATATCACAAAGAAACAATTATACAAATTAACATTAAAACAGGAATTACATATATAGAGAAATTAATTATATAATCCTTTGTTATATATTTATGATATATTTATCCTTTTCTGGATTTGTTGAAGGTGTTTTTATACACCTGAGAGAGAGAGAGAGCATAGTGTTGCATGTCAGTTTCATAGGTAAATGCTTCTGGGGTCACTAAAAGTTTGTCGAATTTAGGCCATTTCCACGAAATGCTGATGATTATAGAATATAGTCGAAATATCGGTTGATATAAAATCTTTTAAAAAACAAAAAATTGTTTAAAAAGTATCTTATTTAACTAATAACCAATTACCCAGGTAAAATACAAAATTATTATTGAAAATTTTTGGTCATTAAAACAATAAATAAATAATAAACAATTGAGAATTTGTTAATAAAACTTTTATAGCCTGTTAATTGTCGAAGTCCAGAAAAATGTGTGAACATAAAAGTTAAGTACAGCTTTGGGTCAGTTGATTAAGGTGCGTTGACTCTGAGCTTCAAATTTGGCAGGACATGAGTTCGATTCCTGGTACTTGCAGTTTCAAAAAAATTATTTACGTTCGATTCCTGGTACTTGCAGTCTCAAAAAAATTATTTACGTTCGATTCCTGGTACTTGTAGTCTCAAAAAAATTATTTACAAATAATTAAATACAAGAATTATATTCAAGACCACTGATGATGAATATTTGGCAATACCCGAAACAGCTGTATGATCAGCCAAAAATTCAATTAATTAAAATAATATAAAATCAATTTTTGTTGTTGTAATTCATTACTGTACGAAAAACCTCTTTATAAATTATTTAAAATAAAATTAAATTAAATTTTATTCAAATTGTTAATATTCCATATTCAAATGTTATCCATGAAATTAATTCGTTACCTTATAAATTAACTGCAACCCATCGAACTATCGGAGTTCGTTGCTCAAGTCTTTTGTTATTTTTATGTGTAAATAATTAAAAGAAAAGCAATTATTACTATTAAGAAATATATATACTATATAGACGTGTGCTGTAATTAATGCAGTACAGCACAAATTGCAACATCACTAAATCACCAGATGAACTCTTAACACACACTGCACATATGCAATTTCAAGGAAACAATGTCACAAAATTACACATAAAAATCAAATAAAATATGTTTTAATTTTTTTTGTTTTTTTTTTTGTTGAACGAGAGTAAAAGCTGAATAGGAGCAAATTTTAGCAAATCAGTGAAGTAAAGTAAAGTATCTAGATATTTGGTAATAAGCAGTTTGAAAGAGTCGTGTTCAACTGAAGTTGCAACTTAAGAGAGCCAACAACAATGCTAGCACAGATAACAAAATTATTTTGGAGAAGTTTTATTTAAAAGACGTTACCAAAGCCCAACAAGTGGCATAACAATCCGAGACTGCAGTGCGACAACATCACAAACAAAACGAACATACGCACTGCTCAAATCAAAAGATACGAAATTAAAAGTGCGATTAAAAAAAAATTTGATCAATTTGTGATTTCCAGTGAATTTATGAAAATTATATGCTTAAACCAGTGTTGCCATTGCAGTGCGTGTGTGTGATAAAAGATACGAAACGGTACGACAAAAAAGTACGTAAATAAGTAACAGAAAGAAAGTTGTGTAAGCCAAGAGAAGCGAAGAAGTTAAATGTTAATGAGAAAGCAAAATAAATAAAAATACTTTTGTAAAGTAAAATTTGTAAAAGACCAAAGAAAAAGATACTCTCAATTACAACAACAACAAGTGGCTTGACTTAAAGCGCAGCAGTAACAGTTAAAGTTGAGCTTTAGTTTGGTTAAAGGTGCAAACGACAAGCCGCGCTCAGGTAAAAGTGAATCTGTAAGCGAACGTAGCGGACGCATTGCTGGAATTGAAAACGAAACTGACAGTTTTTCAAACGGTTATGAAATTCATTAATAAATAAAAAAAATAAAAAAATATATTGGAATATATTTTGTATGTTAATTAAACTTGAACGAAATAAAGTTATTGACAAAAAAAAATAAAATAAAATAATAACGCGTTAACGAAAAACTAACTTTAGTGTACTTAACTTCAACTTAAGATATAAAAAGAAAACTGACAAATATGAAGGTAAGTAAGAATTCTCTCAAGTTATGAGATATAACTGATGATACTGTTGTGCCGAATTCTCATACACCTACCGCATGTGTAATATCGCTTCGATTTCAGTGCCTCAATTTTGCTCTAAACTTTTGTGTAAAATGTAACTTTACGTGCTATAAACCGCAGTGAAAGCGCGACTTATGCAAAATGCAGTAAATGTGACAATGACCAAAATAAAAAAAAAAAATAAAAATATTTTTATGAATACAGATACAGATATTTATCTATATACCATATCTTTTCATTAATGTATGAAATGAGTTGCAAATAAGCTTGAATGCCAATGATGCTATCTGCAAGCAAATGAAATGCAAACATTATCGCCAGAAAATCGCAATAACTGTATGATTAATTTTTATTATTTACTTAAAGTGAAAATAACTATTTAAATAAAATCAACTATAAGTCATCAAAAAATATTTCAGCTGTTTTATTTGCAGAAACTACTTTGACTTTAATATGAACTGCAACAAGTGTGTATGAATTTTTGCCCTTCGAGCATATGCTGTTTATATTTATTTTCAATGCCTTACTTCGTCGAACTGTTAAAACCATACTCAGACAATCTATTCAGCAACAAGTTCAAGTGCATTTTTATTTTTCCTCAGATACAAATATTTTTTTATTTTATTTTTATTTTTCATTTCAAGCTGCAAATGCGGGTAACGAGACGTTGCAGTTACTCGACATAGTAAAGTCGACATAGTAGAGTTGCAGGCAAGACTTGGCTTTTGCTTGCAACTATGAAACTGAAAGTTTTGCATGACTTCGAAGCAAAACTCAACAACTTGCAATTGCATAATAAAACTTCAAGCCACAAAATCTTTTGCTATTCGTTAGTAAACACAAACATATAATGCTATATATACAAAATATATTATAATTTAATGAAGTCTGACGTTAACCAGTCCTAAGTGAAAAAGAACTTTTAAGCAGCAAACTTTTATCTCCAGATAGCAATTTTCTTAGAAGTTACTCGAACCGAACCGACTATATGTTTATACATTACGTACTAAATATTTGAAGTATTTCTGTTTGTATATAACTTTTTCCCCATTGAAATGAAAAAGCATATTGTGTCTTCCAATTTCTGCAGGCATTAACTACAAATAATTTAGACTTAAAAGTTTTGCTAAAGAAACCACACAAATTCAAGTTGTAATTAATTAATGAAGTTTTTTAATGATTGAAAAAGTTATGAAAGGTTTATTTGATGATTAAATTTTCTTTTTGTTTTTATAAAAAAAAAAATTTTGAAAATTTAATTACAAACCACTGAATACTTTTATTTTACTATTTCAATATACTTTTAAAGTTTTCATAAATTGTTTTAATAATTAATTTTAATGAGAAAACATTTGTATGACTTTTCTTTTCAGATACATTGAAGGAGTTATTAGTATGTGTAGTTTATCCATAAAAACTTTGCTTCAAATATTACTTAGCATATTCGAAACTTAGTGATTTTTAGTATAATAATGCCATAGCATTAAATACTCATATATATATATATATTAAATAATTAAAATAATATCTAGATATATATTAAAAGCACTATATAAATACATTCAAGTTCATATAAAATAAATGGACACATTTTAATATGTTTTATATCTAGTTGGTTTTTGTTTATTTATATTTTTTATTTTTATTAAAAATTAAACTTTCCTCAACTTACAGAATTCATGTCTTAATTGATCTAATTTAAGTAGAACAAAGATGCAAATCTTTGAAAATAATTTTTTTTCTTTTAAACTACAAATAGTTACATTGACAAATATTCATTCCTTGATCCTTGATCATTCCTTGATAAAACGCGAGTAAGAGTCTTAAGCACTTGTACTCGATAATCACTTGGGTGATCCACCTTAATAAATGTTCCATTGAATTATGATAATGAGTTATTCAAGAGATTTTGTGGAAGTATAGTTTAAAGCCCGTCTTCCTACAGAAATATATCTTACATTTGTATTAATTTAAATGTTTTCTCTTCAATCGCATTCTTTTTCAATTTTATCTTTGAACAATTAACACTGACGTTTTTCATAGTGCTCTTTTCAGATCAGTATTACAATGATCTCTATTCAAGAGTTTAGATACCTCAAAACGTACCCACCAAGACTTATCAGTTTTTTCCAGATGCCTGTAGTCTCTCATTATCGCTGTCTGTAAAAAACAACAACTTTGCAGTTTAATCAGTTTGAGCTACTTTTTATCATTTATAGCCACAAATGCTTCAAATGCTGACAGTTAAGGATCCAATCATTTACTCAGTCAAGTAGTAATGTCTCATAATGAACGATAACCTGATTATCGTAAACCAAACACACAGCATCATTTTTCTTGTTTTCAATTTCTATTTAACTATTCGTATCATTTGTTCTAATATTTTTAATAATAAACCAAGAAACTTAAACACCTAATAAGGATCTTCCGAATCCATTTAATGAGCTGAATGGAATATTATAACCCCAAGATTATTCTAACTACCATTTAGGGAATTTTATATCGAGCGAGGAGCATCTTTCACATTAAAATTTCTATAATAAAAATTAGTATACCATATCGTAAGAGTTCATTATGATAAAGATCCCTGACTATAAGCGAAGCCCTTAGGCACTTTTAACAAGCCCAAGGCGGTCTTCCTATTCATCTGATTAGAATTGTAAGATAAACCAAATTTGTTAATAGTTAAATAAACTTTAAACTTCATACCTTTTTGAACACAGCACTAAAATTATCTGGTAAATAATATCTGTAAGATGAATGATTTTACAGATATTTTGACTAGTTCAATGTTTGAACTTAATTTTTAATCCTTTTCCCATTTCTCCGAATTATTTTTTATTGGCACTCTGCTCGGTATGACTATATATAAATCTCCTTGTAGTTCATTACACTATTTTTATTTTCATTATCTGTTTAAAGGTTATTTTTCAAATACTCTTAAAGTGATCCTGTTACCATTATGCCATTAGCTAGATTTATTACTATGAATTATATTTTGAAATAAAAACATTGCCATTCACTAGACATTTCCTTTGGTTATAATGAAATACAGAGAGTTAATAATAAACATATATTACTTATTTTAGAGGTTAAATATTAGTGAAAGCTCAGTTTTAATTTAGTGTTTGATACAAAGTACTTTTAAATTTAGGTTCAGTTAGTATATAACAAAATATTATTCCATTGATAACTCAATGCTAAATTTATTTATATTCTATTTAGATTTATATTTTATTATATTTCTATTATATATTCTATATTATATTTTATTCAATGTGTAAAAAATCATACACTCCTACTTTTGTATTTGAATGGGTAGAAGTTTTAAGCATGAAGAGCTTCTTTCTTTTTCATTATTAAGATTTGAAACCATTTCAAATGATCAGCTAAACTAAATAGTCTGTTCCTAATATTTTTTAATGACCAATAGTTATTAATATTTTCGATCTAATATTACATCAATATAAAAAAAGACTTCCTTTATATACATCTAGTAAATCTTTTGGAAACCCTACGTATATTGTATATTGTTCCCAACAAATTTAATAATAAGCTTCTAATATCATTAGTTAAAAGCCCTCTTATGGTACTATAACAGAAAATAGAAATTTTTTACTAATTTTTATTTGCAAAGCAATATACATGTATATTATACATGTGTTACTAAAACTATTATTACTCAAAAATATAAATATATTGCTTAGCACCTGCCTGAAAAACACATATGGTATACCTAATCATTCATGTTGCTCAATATGCCCACCTTCAAAAGTAATAAATATTTATCACTCTGCTGATATATATGACTAAAACGTGATGTTCTGCTAATCAATAAAATTTGCAATAATAAAATGTTGAAATTATATGAAGCAATATATTTGTCACAAAATGATTTGATTTACATTTTTAACCTCAAGTTTTTATGAATAAAATTCAGGTGCAATTCACAGTTAACAAAACATCGCTTTCGTTACTTTAAAACCCACTACTAACTTTAGTAATGATATTAAATATTTTTTACTTTATCTATAAGCAAATACTTCTCAACAAGCAAAACACAACACCTGTCAACAGTTTAGCACCATATCCGGGAATAATATACATTAAAAATTAATGTTGGAAAACCCAAATTCAATAGATAAGGTGAAGTTAAGAGCCTTTTATACACAAAGGAATCGAAAATTGTGATATAAAATAGCACTTAACTGGTATTATTGAAATATAGGTAATTCAATATTTGAAAGAACTACACATACGAGGATAGTAAGGTTTTATAGCTAAGAAATTGATTTTTCAGTTAAGCGAAATTAGAAAATTTAGTTAGATGTGCAGTAGGCAGAAATTAGCTGATAAAATATAGAACAGCAGTTTTAGTGGAGGTCATAGCATTGGAAATCGTGTAATAGATAGTAGCGGAATGGATAGTAGCAGAAGATCTTGCGACCTATTTGGTAACAACTAAATATTGAGTTACTAGAAGAAATTATATTAATTAATATAAAATATGAAAACTCTTAACCATCTTTATTAAAACAATATATCACCAACTCTGAAACTCAGTACTTAAATCTTTCTACGAAGTATTTATTAACATCGAATCAGTGGCGTTATCAGGATTGTGCTAGGAGGGAAAAATAATTTTTGACAGTGTTCTTGAAATATATTTTCTAAATATTCTAAAAAATCAAGATTAATAGGGTATCCATCTATACCCATGGATACAATTTGATCGAATATGCTTTATGAAGTTATAGACATAGATTAGAATATTTATAATTATGGCTTTAATATATGAAATTCGTAGTGCCCTAATTTTTTATGGAGTATTCGTATGTCAGACTGAATCACTGTACTCAGTTTAGAAACTAATTAAAATTAATATTTTTAGTAACAGTAAATTCTGTTCATGTCGTATTTCTTGCATCGGTTCATATGATTACTATATGTACTCATATAAT